TTGCCCATGTACAGTTTCACATGGTGTGTGTTTGGGATACAGGTCATAGGGAATTGCAGATTAAATAGTCAACTGAACCCATTAAGAAGAGCAATGTATTCAGACAGAGTTTTTGTGAATTTGATATTACGTTTGCTTTATTGAAAGTACAGTAGTACCATTGCCAATAGTGGGATAGTTAGTGGGCTAAAACTGTACATTAGTTGAGGTAGCACGTTGAAAGGCAGATAGTTAAAGTCATTGCCTTATAGAAACTCAGTTTTAGTAAGTTTTCCAACTTTTGCCAAGAGGGAACTTTGGATATTGGTCCCTACATTATGTTCACTGGGTTTCATGCAGATCGGTCAAACTTCCTAGGAAGAGATCGATTTCAAATGTTTTTCAAAAAATTCAAAATGGCGGAAAATCTACATAACTGGAAGTTATGGGTTCTTGAGGCAAATTTGTTCCTCATGAGGAGAGGCATCTCTGTGCAAAGTTTCATGTCTCTACGACATACAGGGCATGAGATATGCCCATTCAAAATTTGCAATTTCAATCGGTTGCTACAGCGCCCCCCTTTGGTCTATTGATGTAATATTGCTTCATTCGCATCCTCTCATGACCCTCTACCACTGTGCCAAATTTTACATGGATTGACCAAGTCAGTGAGGAGAAAAACGTGGAACAGACACACCCACACACACACACCCACAGACAGACATTGTTTTCATCATTATATAGTAAGATAGTAAGATAAGATACAAGGTTGCCTAACTGTCTTGCAGCCGCCCACCACTAGTGGGTGCTACAGAGCCATCAGACAGCAGTCCCCCTACCTGCAGTAATGCTCGAGTAGACTGGAGTTTTAAGACAGCACGGTGGGAAATTGGAGAGATGTCCTCTCGCAAAATCAGCGCAGTTTAACAGTATTTTAATCCAGAAAATTACTTCAGCAGCAATTTATCTTTTTTAAGATGTTAATAATATTTGTTAACTTCAAGTGAGTTGTTGTCAGATAAAATGCAGGGTTTACATTCATAATGCATGGTGCAAAATGCCTCTCATTTCAGCTGAAATTTTATTATAATTTAGATGTTGTTTTATTAACTTTAAAGTGAATTGCTATCATTTTTGTCGGATAATTGGCAGGATTCAATGTGCCCCACATTTCAGGGGCAATTTATTTATTCTAGATGTTATTTTAGTGGTTAACTTTTGAGTTGCTGAGTTCCTGTCATGTTCACATTCATACCACACGGCCCAAAGTGTCCCGTACTTCAGCAGCATTTAGAATCCCACATGGTTGTTGAAGATTGTGATTAAAGGCTACAAAGGGCTCTTAATACACACAATATTTTTAGGACAATATTCAAATACTTAATAAATTGTGCTAAATTTTGACTGTTTTCTGAGTGATTTCTTTTTCTTGATTACTTTTGGTCAACAGGGAAATTATTCGCCAGGAACATCCCTAATAGACAGCGAGTGCTTTTTTATAAAGATATCAGATCAATCCAATAGTGAGCTTATTTGAAGTCAATAACATGTTTAAATCAAATTTTTATTTTGCTGCCATTGTGAAAGCCCGGATGATTGAGGGTGGATTGCTCACTGTTCAGCAAATACTCAGCTACTCAGCAAATAACTTTCCTGCTGGAGTTAGGGTTACTTGGGTAATTACGTAGAGCATCAGGGGTATGCTGGCATGTTTTTGCTTGTATTTTTAAACACTAACAATGTGGTGATGCATGGAGAAAGCAAGTGAAAAAAAGAGCCTGAATATAGCACAAATTAATAACAGGCATTGCCTAACTGAGTGAGGACCATTACCGTGACGAACCATTATCATGTGTAACAATGATCTCATCATACTGTCCACACCTAGACAGATGACATTTTTATTTTCTCATTGTAGAATAATGTTTGTGACCCACTTAAATGAACAGGAGTTTAAAATGTGTCACTGTGCCATTCTAAAGGTAGTTTAAAGTGCACTTAGATGTTAGTATACAAACAAAATTATAAAAGAAGACTGCTGCTGCAAACCAGAGCTGGCCAAGAAAACAAAGTGGTGAGAAGCGACCTCCAGAAGAAACATGAGAGAAAAACAGAGAAGTGAGGACAAAAGGCAGAGCGACTTCAATGGTTGTCACCTCCTGCCAACAAACAACACACAGCTGGTCTGTTGGTTTATGGGACAGCTTCTTCAGAGTGCCATAAATCTTAGCACTACTCCTTTTAAGGGCTTTTGTCCTGCTTTACTCAAAGCCACCAAAGCTGCCCTCTTCAAAGACAATAAATAGGCTTTAGTCAGAGTTCGCTGGCATCAATCTGGCTTCTTCTCTTAACTCTTGGCACAGTTAGGATGGCCAAAAAGAAATGCCAGCAAACAAGACCAAACTGACCAAGACCATTTGGTGTGCTTGTCTAATTCAGCAGGGGCTGTCCAAACAGAACTGTTTTAATGTGAATTAAGAAGCCTTTCAGTTTGACACTAGCTTCATTCAAACATAGCCAGCTCATTTATACTGAGATGTTGTGGTTTGCAACAGAAATGTATCAGCTCATTTTCACTCTCGCTGCAGTTAACCCATTAATGGGTTTCTCAGCTGTGTGGTAGTTGTAATATCTTGCTGAATAATGTGTTGCACTTTCCTCAACCCAATGCGCAATCTCTAGCACTCTAGTTGGCCCCGAGGTTTTCAAAAGTAATCACATTTTTGGATGTGTCAAAACAAAATAATTTACATGCCTACCCTCAGGTTTGTTCATTTAGTAATAAAAAATCCAAACAAGTCTCAAATTCACTGACTACATTCTACATTCTTTTTGTGTTTTTTGGTTGCTACCATTCAAAGTAAAGTGGCCCTGAGGGTGAAAACACATCAATTCCCAAAAGACAACGGCAAAAGAGAAAACAAAGCAACTGTACAGTGCATCACAGACTGAGACACAATATATTAAACTATTGACAGGTAATCACTGTCCAACAGTATCTACCTATTCCAGTTTAAGTATAACGAAAAGCCACTGCGTTTTCTCTTTTGCCTTTGTGTTTTGTGAAATATTGTGGTGTTTTTTGAAAAATGTAGTGTTTTGCGAAAGCTGTTCTTTGGTGAAATGTGTTTTGTAAAATGGGTTTTTGTAAAATTTAGTGTTTTGTGTAATATAGTGTTTTATGAAATGTGTTTTGTGAATTGTTCAAGTGTTTTGTAAGAAAAGTGTTGTGTTCTCTAAAATGTGTTGCTTTTTGTAACATGTAGTGTTTTATGAAATGTAGTGCTTAAGAAACCTGTAGTGTTTTGTGAAATGTGCTGTTCTGTGAACTGTTAGTGTTTTCTGAAATGTTGTGTTTTGACTCTTAAGAGCTGCCTTTCCAAAGGCTCTTAGAAACAAAAAAGGGTTAAGCTGTTTCTTAAACCAAGTGCCAGATGTTGAACTTGTCATCAACCAAAACAACATTAATCAATCATCATTGAAATATCACATACCACGAGTCTCATAAAAATACTCTAAACCATCTACAATTTGTTTCTGTGCTGATGTGAATTTTAATATATAAGGGTTTAAGTTTACACAAACGTGTGCAGGTGACAAATCACTTTGTGCCTGTGCCCACATCCAGCGTGCTAAAAACAAGGTTCTCATGCGAACACGCCAGCCTGCTTTCCCTTCATGTCATCACCTACTCCACATTTCCTTCTCTCTGCTGTTTCTGGCCCGCTGCTCACAGGAAAACACTGAGATCAAACAAGCGGTCACATGAGAAATGAGAGCTGCGCTCTGTGTCGGCCCGGCGCTGGCCACCGGAGTTGCTCGCCTGGGGAGAATCAAACACCTGGCATTTGTCACCCCACATCCCCTTTACAACCAATGCGACCCCCAGTCCCTGTATGGGGAAACTTAAAAGGCATTTACATACAGCGCAGAGAGAAACACAGGTTCTGCTAGTGCTAAGCAATAACTCCCCTGGCTAAACAAGCTGCCCCTATGGAGAAAGATACATAAAGACCCATGCTTTATACAAGCTTTAGAGAATAGAAATGAAAACACCATCACATAAAAGAAAACTGCTCAAAGCAAAGAGTTTCAGACCTTTCTTCCACAAATGCTCACCCTTTTTCTTCTTTCAAAAGCTAAAAGGATTAAAGGGGAACTCTCTGCTATTCACTGCCACGTCTCCCCTTTCTCCTCAGGTGTTGTAAAACCATAAATCTTTCTTGTCTACTATTTGGCTTTAAAACAGCCCTTCTTTATGGGAAGGTTCTCCACCAAATGTGCGTGGACCAGGCAACCCAGTCAAATGTCAGCCTATTCATGAAAGGAGCCACTGTAGACGTGAAGTTTTTCTAATCCAGCTCTTGAGGTGGAAGTAAAGAGGAATACTAATACAAGTTTAAGTAAGCACATTCTACATCCATATTTAATTACTTTTAATATACATTTTAAGTGTACAAAATCAGTCATTTGCTGTTAAAAGGACAACAAAAATTCATGTTGTAACTACGTTACTCTAGTTTTGTCCACTTCCTGTTTGGCCACCCAGATGAATGCAGCTGAATTCCCACTAGTTAATGGTGCCCACCCCTTCTTCCAATTCCCCTGCCCAGCCCCCTGGAGTCCACCAGACCACCATTAAAGAAGATCCTCTCTGTTGGTCATTTCATTTTATAGCCCTTCAACGCCTAGGAAGGACTGACCACCAACAAACCCTCCCCTTTAAAGCCTTGGAAGAATTGGATATCTTTCCACAACCCCTCCCCTCACCACTTTTTCCAGTAAAGTGGCCTGAAAGCTCAAATCAGTGAGTCCAATGTGCTGAAATTGTACAAAGGTCGGACAGCTGCTTCTTAAACCTCCAAGATGATAAAGGGAAATGGGTCTCTTTGCTATCAGTGCTTACATCAATTAAATTAGCTGCTTTACTTGGCTAAGCTAAGACAGTCCAAGGACTCTTAAAGCTCTTTGTTTCGACAACATTTAAAAGTAAAAAAAAAATAAACAAACATTCAACTTACATCTGATTTGGTGGACTGGTCCTCCATATCCGAGTCATTGGGGTCGACCAGTTCCTGGAATGGCGGAAGTGTTGTCACCTTCCTGCGCTCTGCCTCGTCACCTTCTGGTCGCAGTTTACTCGTTCGCATCTGCGATCTATCCTTCAAGAGTTTCTTATCCAAATGTTGAGCGTCTGACCCTGAAGTCTGCTTCCCTGATATATCCACAAATCCCTTTTTACGTTTTTTGGTGACATGATCGTCACCATCAGGGGTGGACAGACGCTTGTTCAGCCCTGACCCGTGGGTCATCCCCTCAGTCCGATGCTCCTTGGACAAAGACTTGGGTTCCTTGAAGCCCATCTTAGGATTTGTATCTCTAAGTGGCTGGTTCTCTTTGGGTTTCCTGGAAGGTTCTTTGGGGGCTTTGCTGGGTTCCCAGCCAGAGTCTCTGAAGGCACTTTTGGGCTCTTTCAAGTCTTTTGGAGGCTTGTCTTTGTGGTCCTTGGAGGGTTTGTGGAGTTTGGAGAAGCTGCTGCTGTTGGTGCTGGTGGTTGTGGCGGTGGTGAGAAGGGTGGTACTGCTTCCTTTGGAGCCATCCTGTGGATCAAAGCCATCAAATGAGAAAGATCATACACTGTATGAACATATTCTACAGAACAATAAGAAATAGATTCAGATTTCTTGATAGCCTAAATGATTATGTACGAACTGCATGATGGCAAGTTAAGTCATGTATGAAAAAATAACACCAAGAAATTCTAACCCACATTTAGGGTGTTAGAGCAGAATTACACAGAATTATCTCAGCTACACAAGAATAAACTTCAGCTCAAAGGATTATGGAGCACAGTGGAGGGAAATCCCACTTTAGGTCAGTGGGCAAACATAATAGGGCAAGGGCATAATTAGCCACAGAGATACTGTCATCTGAGGATGGTATGAGCTTGTATTGCTGTGATAATAACCAATATAAGTGGTGTGCCACTGAAAATAACTCAATAACCCAAAAAATATGACAAACGTTTTTTTCCAAGCAGTGTTCAAATCCTACTTTGCAGCAGGAAAAAATGTCTCCTGTGAGTATGTTGTTCTCTTACTGTTCGTCTTGTGTTAACTTTGGAGTGTTCGTTAGACTACATGAAGTACTTCTAAAATGCTAAGAACCAAACAACAAAGTGAGCAAAACCCAGACAGCTAGGTCAAATGAAGATTAATCCTCCGCCTTTTACACAAGAGAAAACATGCATGCCACCCTGCAGTTTGGCATTACCATCTGTGAAAAGAGGTCTATTCTTAAAAGAAAATCAAAAGGGTCTTCTTAGTCTTCATCTATGGGCTTAAAGAGCAAACTCAGGACTTCTTTTGAACAGTGCTGTTCCGTGGCGTGAGGGGGCCTTTTCAACAGCCACACATGCGCAACCTTAAAAGTGGAGTGAAGGGCAATGGGGAGAAAGGAGGAAATGCATTCCTTCTAACGACGGGGGCCATTTGTCCCTGGGTCTCACCTCCAGCCCCCTTGTCAATATTTCATCAATGCAGTAAACCCATTAAAGCAGTCTAGACGACGGGGTGTGTTACAACTCTGCCCAACCACCTCTAAAACCTTTCATTTTGTCTATCTGCTGGTGACCCTGGGACCTCAGGATGTAAAGCTGCCGGCTCATTCTAAACTCCAGCATGCCCTCCCAGGGCAGCCCAACATAAAACTGGTTTAGTGCTCTTGGGGGTGGGGTGGGGGGGGGGGGGCGGACACAGTGCCTCTACTGCCATCAACATTGAAGAGATCACTAAAGTGGCACTTTTTAACAAACCTTTCAGCACCGTGACATTGGCAGGTTAGCAGGTGACCAAAGTTCATATAAATCACCGAAGAGCCCAAAATAATAACACTGTCAGAGTGAAACTGAAAGCACATCATCATCACCACACACAGTATTTCTTACTTTCCAAAAATGCATTCTCTTTAAGTGAAAAAGATGTCTGGATTAAGTAATTTACCATTTTGATATATTTTCTCATGATTTCACTCTAAGCAATAGAATTAGTAACATTTAACACTCCACTACATTGTAGGGATGCATCATATGTAACAATTTGTTTGGCCGATACCTGATACCAATATCGATACATCCACTTTTAGCGATCATCAAGTCTCTTCTTAGTGGAATTAACATCATATTATGCATGCATACTCTTATCTTGGTGGCTCAACAGCAGATAGAGTCATGAAATAGAATGCTTTTCAATGTATGTGATATTCACTCATTGTGCAAAATAAGAAAAAGCATGTTGGCCAATTCATTTTAAAGCCAATACCTGACGATGCCGATGACATGCAGATATTATTGTGCATCCCTACTATATTGCATTTTATCATCTAATTTATTTACAAACATTATTCTTTTCAATGTGGATGTCATATTACCATATCATTTGACATTAGTGATATTTATACTGCATTATATTCAGGGTTTCTACATGGTTCAGCTAAATTTTTATACCACATAGAATGCAGTTGTATCACTGTTATACTGTATTAGCATGACAGTGATACAACTAGTATTTGAGTATGACTGAAAGCCAATTGAATAGTTACAGTAAGGCTTGGAATAATATACTTCATAAATTAATGTGACTTGGACCTGAATAAAGGGCATAAAAAGACTGTATTGATTAGCTAATAAAAATCAATAATTTATTTAAGTTAATTTGTGTTTTTAAGACTTGCATATACCAATGACTTTTATTATATTCTATATTATATACTTTATATACTATACTAATATATTTAGGATAGTATATCTATCTTTCTGTCTAAATATTTTATATTCTGTTCATATTGTATGGTGTGTACATATATTGCATAAATCTATCATATAACACTGCTTTTTAACATTCATTATATTAACTACCCATACTTATCGGTAATAATAGACTGTACTACTTCAATAAAGGGTTTCACAGTCGTTTGACCAAACTCAATACTTTTGTGTCTTTTTAGTATAATTTATAAACTCACATGCTCTCAAATTTAGAGATTTGGTGGACTTCAAAACAGCACAATTAATGTATAACGCTAATATCGCTAATCTTGATTCTCCTTACTGAGGCTAGCTATTGATTCCAAATCCAAAAAAGAAAAAGTCTCGGAGGAAAACAGAGAATCTCATAGTGAATGGTACCAAATGATCATAAACAGCCCACTGCAGAGTAACTACTTTGTTGTAAAACATATAATGAATGTTCATTTAGACCTATTAGGAATGTTTACAGGCTAATGTAAAATATATAGCCTGTGTTGCCACCACTATAAGGCACAAATATGTATTGCAACTCCAGACAGATTTTTTTAAAAAGAAAATTCCCTTGATAGTAAAGGTTGCTGACCTACATACCTGGCTTACACCTTTTCAGTCAGCAAAACTTGCTTTGGTATGTCACTGGTTCAGAGTATTAACTCTTCATTATCATTTTGTGTGTATGCATGTAAGTTGTATAAGTTGGGAAACTAATTAAATAAATTCACATGAATATAAATATCCACATGAACAAATAAATATATGTGTGTATATTTTTTTTTCTCATTCATTTACTTATTGTCTTTGCTTGTTTTTGTTACTCTTTTGTTTTTTGTTTTGCTCGCCTTATGTGCTGCTTTAACATGTAAATTTCACCCAAAAAAGTCTTCTTTATCTATACGCATCTTACATCCACTGCTCTTTTTTAGTTGAAATATTTCAGGCGTTGCAGTATAATAATAGGAATTTAATAAATAAAAGGGGGGAAACTAAAGTATTTATGACATTTTTTTTCCAAATAGTTATGGTTTATTATAAAAAGTTCTGATGTGTTTAATACCAGTGCAATAATTCTCAACATGCAATGGAGTGGTGGAGAGAGAGACGGAGAGCAAGAGAGAGAGAGAGTGACCTCCTGCTCCACAAGTAATTCATCACATACACTGTGTTTAGACTGGAAACTGTTTCCATGTGAAATGGGCCTCTCCTAACCTGGCTCTTAAATGACACTATTTAAAGGGACTAAAAATAACACATAATGGAAACAACATGCCGGCTTATTGACACACATGATTTAGTGCTGCACGAGATAATGTCTTATATCTCACATGAAGCACCTAGGCCCATCATTTATGCCTTTTCTTTTCTCCATGCCCCAATTTTGTAAGATTATCTTCTAAAACGTCCATGCATAACAAGTTTTAAAAAGACATTAGAGCAAAATATGGGCACTGTCAAACCCACAGGTTGTCAAAGATTCACAACATGTGTCTGAGTCAGTGGAGTAAGTGCTTATGGTTGAGCAGCAGCCAAGATATAGTTTGCTTAAGCCAAAGTTGGATGTCTTCGAAATCCCTGAGTTTAAATATCTTGGAGGTCTTTGAACCTGCCAAATATGTGGGGGGATTAGGGCTTGGATACTTTGAAGGGGTAAAAAAGTTTCAGAGCTGGGTGGGGAGAAGAGGCAGAGGAAAAGGTTGTCTTGCTCCAGGCAAGTACCTGGAAACTGCACTGACCTTTGACCCATGGAAGCTTTTGCTCTTCTTTGGGTCAGAGAAGGTGGATGTCAGCGAGGTGTTGGGAAGTGTAGGCAGCTTCAGGTGCTGGCCGAACAGGGAGGTGGAGCCCTCCTGCATTACCATCACCTGCCAGAGGAACAGCAACAAATCACAATGATCAGAGGCTTCTTTACTTTCAAAGAGTTTTCACTGGGCTACAGTTATAAAGTAGAAAAGCAGGACTGGGTATCAAACTTAAATCTTTTTTGATGTCATCATGAAGTACTGAAAACCTTTGAGTACGCAAAGCTGGCAGTAAATGCTCAGCCAGATTCTTACTCATTTGTGGTTTTATTCTTTGACCAGAGAATTTATTTTGAATTTTTATGGAACAACGTTCATTTCAAGGTATTACATAATGTGCACTATTGGAATTCCTAGTCTACCGCTGGTGTACTGAGAGGAAGCAGCAAAGGCTTTAAAAGCTTATTTCATATTCTGATACTGGACTAAACTTTTTATACCAAGAATGGCTGGACATGTTGCGAGTACCTGATTTATGAAACACAACATATCATCTGCATATAAGGCATTTTGGTACATCACAAGGAAACATGACCCAAAATCATTTTTTCGGCTCTTATATGACGCAGATAATTTTAACACTAGTGTGGAAACAGAAATCCTATTTTTTAAGTCAGATCTGGGCTGCTTTAATATGTCATCTGATCACTGGCCATGTGACCACCGTGAGGACGGTCATATTGGAATTCATGACCGTTTTCCCATACAGTACAAATATGGTTTTTCCACATCATGCTTCTTTAAGAAAGTGCAGATCACTCACCATACAGTACCATACAGTGCCAGAGAGATGTGTTTAAACTACAGAAGGCTGCTGTAGTCGTACTGCTGCTGACAAGGGACAGCTTGCCTACATGCTATGACAGCATTGTCATGAGGTCTGACAGAGAGATTGGAATGTAGCCCTGAACATCCCAAAGTTTGGAAGAAGTCTTCCTCTGTGGAAATCTCCTCCTCTGTCTGAACCCACACATCTCTCCACAAAACTAGCCGCAATAGCTGCTAATAGAGCTGGTGGACTGAAAGTCCATCTGTACGAAAGCCCATTATCCCAAAAACCAATGCCTGTTGCTCCAAACAGCCACTTCTTCGAAAATACATTAACGTTATACACTCTCCCAAACAGAGGAATATGGCTAATTATTATGCAGAATGATGTCATCACATCTTCCTACTATGGCGGTTGTTTGGGAGATTCAGGAGCATTAAATCCTTTAATGTGAACATAGCCTCTGTGATTTTTAACGGTTACTGGATTTAAGTTATCTGACGTGCCAAATAGTTTGTTACACAGAACCATCTGAAAAGCCTTTATTGGAAAATCGAAAATGGAAGGCATCATCAAAAATACTTTGCAAGTGACTTAATGCTATTCTATCAACCTCTTTAAGGCTCATTCATACTCCCTTTATGTACGAAAGTAGATACATCTGTACATCTGTTGATACATCTACTTCCATGCATCCTTTATGATGACATAGATACAGCCAATAGATTGCACTAGAGGGCAGAGTCAAAAGTTTCACACAACAACAAACGCCATTGCATACATCCTTATATGTGGAAGGAGAATTTTTTTCACCACATTACCAACTTGTTCTGTTCCACCATTATTTTAATTTCTTCTTCATCTCCCTACGATCAAATCTTGCTTCAACTATGCTACACTAGATCCACGATCTCTGGTGGTACTGCTCCATTTCGTCCATATCCGTAAGCTTTCAGGTAACATGCATAAATACGGACGAAATTAATGCAAAGTACGGACATAAGGCTCCATTCGTATCCATCTCAGTATGTAACGTTGTGCATAAATGAGCTCTTAGGAGCCGCAATTGACGTTGTGATTGAATAGTCTCCTATTGCCAGTAGCTCCTCAAAGGATGCTGATTGGTCTGGACCACTGGTGGTGCTGACACAAACCTTTAATTGAAGTCTGGCAAGATGGATTTTCATGTGATGTTACTACAGCTGCCATGCAAGATAATGTTTTTAACTGCCTCTGGTACCATATTTTTTTGGGCTAAAGGCTCAAGAAACGGTAGTACAACAGTGGTACAAATAGTAAAGAAGGGAAAGTTTGGCTTATTTTGTTACACAACAAAATGTTTTCTCAGGTATCGTTTTGGTACAAAAAATTTCAAACAATATTCAACTATTTCCTCACATAAATGGTAAATTCAACAGCACAGATGTTTTGGATATATCTCTTAAATTATATTGGGACCTCACTCTCATCACACAAATTACAACCAATGTAATCAATCTGGAATTATTAAATGAGTACAGTAACTCTTAGTTACTTCAAGTGGTCCAGTATGAACTAAATAAGGCTTTTATTAGACTTCAGAGTACTGAATTAGTGCACCGCCATCTTCAATGCCAAATGTCTACACAGCACACATTCAAACATCTGAAGCTGCCTGTTTTGGCTGGACTATCTTACAGTCATTGCAGGACTAGAAACATGGCCAGAATATGCAAGTAAAGGCAACACAGCTGCTTCAGTGTGTCTGTACTGGTGTGCTGAGGCACATGATGGTAAATCTCCCAGCCAGGATAAAAGTAGTAGTATAATTACACAAAAAGCAATTTGAAGCCACTTTATAGATGTGTCCAAATCAGTAGTCATCTTTTTTAAAAAAAAAAACCTGTTTCAAACATGACCCCCAGAGCATGTTGGAAATCTTACTTTTGAGTCTTCCGAACTTCGTTTATGAGGATCCCGTTGCTGTTAAAGAGAGACAACAAAAGAAATGGATAATTATCATTCACAGCTTAAATCCAGAAAATATGAAGACATTTCACTTAGCTATACACTCATTAGATTGTTAATGTGCAAAACTGTAACACTGAATTGAATGAAACTGTACATAGAAATGTACTAAGGTGTTTTAGTGGTGAGACTCTGCCTCTGATGGCAAAAAAGAGAATGTGAGTTTTGATATGGTCTATGTCAGCACTAGATCCCTTTTTGAGGCTAACAAGAGGGTGCAGGGCAAAGTAAATAGAGAGCACTTAGCTTCAGTCATAAAACCTCCAGACTACTGGGGTCCTCTGACAGGGGAACAACAGACTCACTGCTCCCAACAGTGAGGAAGCAACCAGGGATATCCAAGCCTATGCTGAGGACTGTACCAGGGCCTCTCCAGGTGTACTTCAATGGGTCGGTGTGCTAAAATAAAGCCTACCATAATCCGATAATGTACTATGCTGTTTCCTCCACCTCTGCCTGCTAGTGTTGCAGCACACTGCTCTCCTTTGCCACGGCTAGCCTCTACACTGCAAGCATTTTGCTCCACATGCAAGTAAAAATTAGGGTGTGTGACTGTGAAACGTTGAGTTGCACTGTTTATGGACTCTGTTTAGTTCTTCTAGAGAAACCCACAGTCAACCTTTCTGATGCAAGAATTCCAGACCTTTTTTTTTTTTAAAGATATTTTTTGGGGCTTTTTCGCCTTTAATGTATAGGACAAACAAGCGTGAGGGGGGGAGAGAGAGGGGGAGTGACATGCAGCAAAGGGCCACAGGCTGGAGTCGAACCCGGGCCGCTGCGGCAACAGCCTTGTATATGGGGCGCCTGCTCTACCACTAAGCCACCGACGCCCCCTTCCATTTCTTTCTTAAACACTTTAATGTGCGGACTTCTCTCAGCTCATTGCATATCTCCACCAGAACAAACTTCTGGACCCCACCAGTCTGGTTTTAAGGTAGGACACAGTGGAACTCCACACTGCTAGAGCAGCCTCCCTCTTCTTTGCTGTCACCCTGCTGGACCTTTTAGCTGTGTCTGACACAGTGAACTGGGAGATCCTCCTCTCCATCCTCCAAGAACTGGAAGTCTCAAGCTCTGTACTTCCTGTTCACATCCTACCTTTAGCTCCATGTTTACAGGATAACCTGGACAGAAGCTGTGTCTGAGCTTTGTAGCCTAACTACTGGAGTCCCTCAGGGTTCTGTTCTGGGTCCTCTCCTGTTTTTCTCTCTACACCAAGACTGTTATTCACTCAAACGGCTTTCCCTACCACAGCTATGCAGATGACATGCAACTAATTCTATCTATTTGCTGGCCTAAAACCTAGGCGGCAGAAAGAATCTCTGCGTGTTTAACTGACTACAAATAAAGCCTGACTATAACTCCATAAAATTACAAGTGTTTGCTGTACTGGCTCCACAGTGGTGGATTGAGCTCGCTATTGACATCAGGACAGCAGGAACTCTACACATCTTCAGACAGAAAACTCATCTGTTCAGACTGCATTTGGCCCATTAAAAAAACTCTATCTTTGTTTCTAAGTGTAGAAGTTCAGCACATTTGCTGGAGATGATGTGCTTGATAATGTCCTTGAACAAATCGTATACAATTCATTCTGAATTTCCTAAAACAATACTTAAGCAAGAGAATTGCTTGTATCTATACGTTTAAACAAAGTATATGGCAGAATAATTTTAAAAGCAGACGATGAATAAATATACAAAAAGCTGAGTCAACACAGGCCAAGCAATAAAGCAGCCTCCTCAGAGCAGAAGAACAAATAACAGGAGTGGTAAGGTTTCACCTTATATACTGTAAAAGACTGACATTCAGCATCTACAGTCACACTTCTTTTGTGAACAGCAGCTGTGGTGCTTTAGAGTTAAACAAAGACATTAACATACTGACGTCATGGCAGCCTTATTAGGCCATTGGAATATTTGGAATCCAAACATATATACATGAAATAAAATATTAGAAATATTAAGGAAGAAAGGGAAGAGGTCCTATTTCACTATTTTTCAATTTCCAAATTCGCAAATAGACACGTTGTAGAGCTGTCCCTGAACCAGGACTCTCAGGATCGACACTTGATAGTGATACACCAACTTAAAGGGTGCATTATTATTACTGATGTCTTATCTACTTTACACACACATATGATTATACATATACATATACATACCTGTGAAATAACATATTATTTACTCCCCTGCTCAGACAGTGTCAGTTCAGCTCACCTGCAGAGCACCCACCCGTCCATAAGCTCCCATGTATCAACCTACATTAGTGTCATGCTTTACCTGTGAAGCTGCCTTCACATAATAAGAAATTTGCTCTCCATAGGCCGCAGATCATAATGCACTTGCAGAGGCACAGAGCAGGTATATCATCACTGCTAACTATATGCCTATTCACAAACCTGGCAGCCCCGTCTGACTGCTTACATTTGGCCATGGTTACCTTCACTGGCAAGATTGTGGTAGGATTTTAATGTTGTTTTATAGAGTTCAGTTATGAATTTTTCTTCCATCAACCCCTCCTCCCTCTGCTTGCACATGTGCTTCTGACTATGTCACATACAGCTGTTATCCCATTGGTTGTACTTTGAAAGGTCAATGGTAACTGAGATCAAAGTTTAAATAATGTGAATTCTGTGTGCAGTGCTTGTCTGGCGCCACCGCTCTTCCCATAGGAAGACAATAGCACAGTTAGTGCAGAGCGCTTTTACAACTGATCATGCGTGGGCTTCTTTAGAACCACATTTTAATGCCTTTGTTCATCATCATGAACAAAGGCATCATCATGCCTTTGTGATGAAACATCAGATTTCCACACAGGCAGAGCATTTCAACTGCCAGGTTGCTGACAGAGCCAGAGTTTCTAACAGTCAGGAGTCACTGCCCTCCATTCCATCACCCCTCTATCACAGTAAGTTCTGTGGTTAAGTCATTTTTAGACAAGAATGAGTTTGTAAAGTTTACAGCCTGCCACGCTGATGCTCCTGCATTGCTCTGTGCACACTGGTTATGATTACATGCACACCAATATTCCCCTATTATTCCAAATACAACAATATACTGCACTTGATGCGGGTCATGTAAACAGCACATTCCTTTTAAATATTTAGAATTGGGACTTTTTCCGAATTTAGCATATTTCAAATAAGGCATGGGGGATTGCCACTATTAATCAGGTTTTAACAGCATTATTTAGATATGTTTACCGCTGATTCAGATTATGCATCTTAATTGGGCTTTTTACCACAGTTTATGCACATGGCGTCCTATCTGTTTACAGTCAGCTCTGTGCATTGTCATGGATACGTTGTACACAAACTACCCAGCCAACAGTTTGCAGGGCTGTAGGGTAGAGATGCATGCCCAAAAGAAAAGCCCACATTCATTTCTGGCTGGTTGAGGAAACACACCTACTTTTAAACATTATGAAAGACTTGGATATCAACTGCTTTCTTGATATGCATGAATCACAGCAACAATCTTCTCAAGGAGGTGGTTGAAGGAATGAAAAAGGGAGGCTGTGTTTGCAGGTTAAACAAGTCCGCCCCCCAGATGCAAAATGACAAGCAGCTCCTGGTAAACACAACGTAAGGGCACATTAATCAGAGTGAGCATGGCTGCATGTGGACAGGAATATTAGTAGATTATTCCTTTTCATTATTCGTAATATTGTCTTTTTTCAGAATAAGGGCAAAAAGAGAATATTTTGTGCATGTAAACGCAGTCAATGTCTAAGATTGTACTCCTGGTAGTGTGGAGGAAGCCTCTGAAGCAGCATTTTGACCTTCATGTTTGGAAATAATACTTCCAGAAGATATAATCAAACATTTAACTTCAAGAAATATGAAAATTTCTGAGTAGTTGTGGTGTATTTATAGAGACTGGACTCATGTCCTGCGTATTTCTAAAATCCTTGGCCCTGCTTTTGAGGTTGATGTTTTTGTACTGCACTCAAGTACTTCTGGAAGGAACACAAGTGACACAGTAGCCTACAATTATGCTGTTATGCTAAGTTTACTTTGAAGCTCGTTTGTCCTTTTAAGACAATGTCCATGTTTCTTACGAGGAAAACATGATTGTAACTTTTTGTAAGCGGCCCTTAATTGCAGAGGGAGTGGTTGAAGGGTATATTTATTTTTTATAACGGTTAAAGTCACAATGCCGCATTGGTCTTTTGAAGCATTCTCATATAAACTTGCACATGAACAATTTAAAATCAGGTACTTCATCTCAAGATTAGGTTCAGATTAACCCACTATGGGACACAAAAGAGCTGGTGACCTTACAAACCCACCATTCTCCCAACACTTTGTGCACTGTGGGCATAGTGTCCATCAGTCTGTGTTTCAGTTTGTATTTTGAAAATCAACCAATTGTTTCAGTCCTTTCCAAGTGTGAAACATTCACTGGTTCAAGCTTCAACACAACAAAAAGACATTTGAACACATCAACTTGATCACTGTGGATTTGTGACAGGCATTTTTTACTGTATCAACAGCATCCATGTGTTTGTATTTTGCCTACAGTCCCATGAACCAGCCAGCAGGCTTACTCCAGTGCTGGCACAAACCCCTGCCCCAGTTTTAATGTGTGTCAGTTTGTTTGTATGATCACTTGTGTAAGCTCAAATGTGCAATTAATCAAATTACCACACAGTGAACCTGGGATTTTTGGGGCCCTGGTCAGTTGCCCAGTTCCTAATCCAGGTTTAAGGAGGATATTCTGGTACTTTTTCCACCGTTGCTAGCCACAGCATTCAGCTCCAGGCGGTGGAAAGTAACTAAATACATTTACTCATGGGGCGATAAAGCTGAAAAATGTCTGGAAATAGGCTACATCAAAATGAGGCATTCCTGTGCTGTGAAAAGATGCAGCAAAGCAACAGAATGAATGTTTTATTCTGCACCTTTTTACTTTTACTTTTTCTTAGCTAAAGTAGCTATGGATTCCAAAACCACAAAAATTAAAAAAATGTCAGAGGAAAATAGAGAATTTAATAATGTGTGGACAGATTTGTTTGCTTTCACTGCTAATGCTGCAAAGTTTAAGTACCAAATTATTATGAATAGGCCACTGCAGAGTAGCCACCTTGNACACACACTATAACTCACCAATAGTTTTCAACGTTGGTGTAGAGATGCATGCAGAAACACACACATTTTTGGTCGGAAGAAAAAACACCACTACTTTAAACATTATGAAAGAATTAATTATCGCCTATCATTATTACCTTTTCAAGAAGGTGGCTGAAGGAAGGAAAGAGGGAGGCTGAGCTTGCATGGGCCAACAAGTCCGCCATCAGTAGGAAACTGAAAAAATCCTTTTCTGATGCAAAGAAGCAAAATGACAAGCGGCTCTTCTACTTTTCCATATTTGGACGTGATAAACGTCACGTTTGGGAACATCATTGGAGTATGCATGGCTGCATTTAAAGGGTAATATTAGTGGAATATTAATTTTAATTAAATGTGTAAACAGCTTAGAAGTAAAATTGTCTTTTTCGGAATAAGGGCAAAAACCGGACTATTTGGTGCATGTAAACATATTCAATGATGCAGCTAAAAAAAAACAAAAAACAAATGCAGTGATTTGACTGAATCGCTGACTGAAACTCATGGCTTGAATCATTGACTTTTACCTAAATTGTTGGCTCAAGTTTTTTCATGGGATATGCTGACATTAAGAAATATTTATGTGCTACTGTATGAGTGTCTTGATTCAACCACTTATTGATAAAGTATGCTTAGCAAGGCACTTGATCCCAGTTACCATCAGTTTAAAACAGCAGATCTACAGGACTGGATTTTGGCTGATTAGAGGCAGGCTGATTGTGTAGAACTGTATCTATGTGTCACACTGCATGAGTGTGTACAGGTGTGTTTCTGGAAAAACAGCACTGAACTCCATCAACTTTCCCCACCAAAATAGAGATGAAAGTTTTTCCTCCTGGGCGGGCTGCAGCAGAGGTTGGTGTATTGCATTAAGAAATGTCAGTCAAGCCCCAGCCTCCCCCTCACACTCCTACCCCGCCGGCTTTCAGTAGCTTCCTACGAAACTCCTCTGTTGGGTTGTTGAAGGTTAGCTTCTCACAGCGGAGATGATTGACAGGTGGGTGGCCCTCCAGGTGGAGGAACAGGTCGTAATCAAAGCGAACTTTCTTCGGTTCTTCCTGAGGAGAAGTGGCGATCCACACAGAGAGGGAAAAGAGGAGAAGAGTCACAGTCAGTCTATCACCAACATTACATTCTTTTATCAAAACCATCACAATCCCTTCAAGACTGCTTTCAAACTGACAGAGTTGTTGTTGAGTGATTTCTTCGGTGGGACAACAAAAGTTAAACTGATGTGTTCACAGTTTAAATATGCCTTACAAAGCATTTCAAGCTACGTATGTGGGAGGAAACTGCCAAAATGTTCATGATTTTTCAGAATGTGCACATTTACAGTGAGTTACTCACAACTAGGAAATCAATAAAAATACCAATGTACCACTTTATGGACTGACTTGGACGTATTTTTGGATTTGTTCTGCAAGAAGGAATGTCATATCACAACCTCATGCACCTACTCAGTCATGTAAAATAGTACTACACTTGACAGTCTCTATACTTGCCATAGCTCCATAGTGAATTCTGAAACCTGAGCAGAGAGTTTGTCGTCATACCAGAAGGAAAATAGATTAAATCCTGAAACTGAAACTCAAATCCATTTTGATTTTCTGGCAGTTGTTTTCCCCTCCTTGAATAAAGGAAAAATAACATCCCAAAAAAAACAAAGCACTTAGTGTGAAGTTGACCATGGTCAATTATAGAGGTATGATATCGATCCTCTATCACACTATATAGTTACACATACTTAAATGTCACAACTATTTTCCAAAAACTCTAGATTAGAGGCACTTCTCATCACAAAATATCTTAATGAAAATGGGTTTTGTGGGTACCCACGAGTCTCCCCTTTATAGACTTGTCCACTTTATGTTAGTTTTGGGCACAAACTACACACTTTTTTGCATGCAATGTTTATTAAAGACGAGAAAAACTTCTACCACTTCTATGTGGTATATTCTGTTGACCTGCTATCTCCCCCAAAAGATCCCCTGTCCTCCTCAAAAAGACAAAAAAGGGTCTACAGTATGTGGGTCTCAGAGGGTTAATTGTGTGCTGCTATTTGTCTCTTCACACTGTTATTAGCAGTGCAGCGCTAATCTAAAACATATAAATCTAAAATCCACGATCAAAAAATATATATTTTTTGCATTCATTTGATTCCCAATCAAAACACGCTGGTAAGAATTGCTTTACCTTATTAATTTGGACTTCAGAACTGTTTTGAAATGCAAAATTCTGAAATTTTAAACCTGTGATAAAAAGTGTTGAATTGCGATTAAAAAACGTAATCGTTTGACATTCCTGAATAAAATATCTTTCCTTCAAATTATGCTGCTAGTAATGAAGCTGTTGACCTTCAGCCTATTCCTTTTTCATACTTCAACAGAGGAATAGGGATGGAGCGATAGGATTTTATTGATACTACAACTGTTATCAATACTCCTTATCGGTTTGATTCTTTATACTTCAAAACTAAACGATAAAAACAGTATTTAAAAAACAAATAAATTGAGGCAAGGATTAGTAACAGTCAGTTTACAACAGCAAAGTCACTATATAAACTCAATATCTCACTCAAAACAAATCTTAAATATCAGCAAGATAAGTCATATTCTTGACATCACAGTACCAGTATCTGAAATTAACTTTCTGACACACCGGCCAAAGTGGTAGATGAAAAAATCTACCAGCCATGCATTTTTTTCCAGGTCAAAATAATGAAGTGTGTTTCTGTGTCAAATATATATTTGTTTCAGTGCTTTTCATTGAGATAATAAAATGTTATGGTAAGTACAAACTTATACTGTTGGCCAAGAAAACATCTGAAGTAATCAATCAGTAATGCAGTGGAAATGTCTAGGGCATTTATTGTGAAATGTAAGTACTGAACAAGTTAAGCTGTAATTCACTGCCATTAACAAATGTGGTGGCAATACAGAGTTTGCCATCTTAGCTCAGACTATGGAGAGTCCGTGGTATTATTTTTTACCTTCATAAGCAACTCGCACCTGTCTGCTACACATAAGCATTTCAGCAGTTCATCTGGTGTCCTGTACGGTAAACGGAGACACAAAACTAGCAGCACTCCAGGCGTTCAGTTTTGCGGCACTGGTTAGACACGAGTAAAACACATGTAGTGTGTGTGTGTGTGTGTGTGTGTGTGTGTGTGTGTGTCAAACATCAGCACTGACAGCAAAGGAGCAGCAGAGCAGCACACTTGTGAATATCATCAAAACATGGTAAAGACTCTCAGCATAGTAATTAGTTACATGACTATTTTGATATAAACATTTACCCGCCAGTGTGGCAGATAGCCTTCCAACATTTACTCACCAAATGGAAAATCTACCGGCATTAGTGGGTGTTAATATTTCACCCTGCATTGACATCAGTCAGTATCAGTCATTCCTCCCCCCTCTGCTGCTGATGTGATTCACTGCCTGCGGGCAGTGCTGGTATATCTTAAGATAAGTGTCAAACTATGAGAAACACTTAAACTGTTAGATTGAAATATTACTTTCTATGGCTGTTGAACAGGTGTATTGATAAAGTATTGGCTTTATACTTGCTGAGGTTTTATTGCACTTACAATAACAAGTGTAACATTACTTGGAGGAGCAGCCCTGACACAGAGAGCAGAGGAGATGCTGCAGTGTGATAATAAATTACATCAAAATGTTCAAGTACAGATAAAAGAACTGCGAACATTGGAGCTTATTAATACTACGGTCTTAAATAATGCAGAAGGGGGTTAAGAGTAGGGGCTGCACGGTTTTGACCAAATGATAAAATTTTGATCACTACTGAGATCATGATTATTTATTGATTTTACTTTCACATTTAAATAACCCGAGTGCTGCTCTTACTTACATGTTGTGCTACAAATTTTGCGTCAAAATAAAATCCACCAATATATATATTCTTTTTAACAGTGGTCACGGGACAGTAATATGTACAGTGTTGCTGTTATGGATGTCTGAGATGACGCTGGATGAAGATGGGTATTTAGTGAGGTAAAGTTATCGACATTATTCTTATTGGCTTTCATGCATTCATTGTACTGCAGTTTGGAGTGTTTTTTCAGTTGCTTCAACATGTTGATCCAAAATTACTCATCTGGAAAAATCCAAAATACTTCCAAATAAAGAATGAATGATGGTGGTTATTGGACAGATGATTTCTCAATTTACCCGTCTGCAGCCGCAACATTCAGGGAAGTTTTTCACAAGCTGCCGCTGCAGGGTGTGTGCCTGTAGCAGCTTGATATGCAGAGGAGTTTTCTATGAGTGAAACATGCATTTTAATCATCAATATACAGTTGATCACATTCATTTAATTGTGTGAAATTAAAATTGTGATCATGAATAATATTTGATTAATTGTGCCGCCCTAGTCATGAGTTGTGCCTATACTTGAACGTAATAAAAGGCTCTGTGTTCTGTACCAAGATGGCAAAAACTGAACTGCATCCCACACTGTCAAAGACAGTGCATTACAGCCTCACTCTTTCATAGACATACACACACTGCAACACTTTGAATGCTTGCAATTTGAAGCAAGTAATACCCCTTTTTTTTTTTTTTTTTTGCATTAGCAGCTAAAACAGACTATGATGGAACACAATCCGTAGACGGAGCTCTTGCACCTATGTTTAAACACTGGCTAAAGGAACGCAATGTCCCTGGCTCAAGTTGGTCGCATGTCAGTCTTCTCCCTCCCCTCATTTCCTGTCACCTCTCTTCTATCCACTATAAAACAAAGGCAGAAATTCCTCAAAAACTATATAAAAACAGTCCCTGGGTAAACACTCTTCAGACATCTCTGCCCATAAATAAACAAAAAAGTAAAAACCTCCTTATTAAGCCAAGGCATATATCAAAAGCACATTAAGAAACTGAGGGACTTAAAATGAATCTACTGTTGAAGATGTAAAACGTACAGTTTGCTGGCGAGTAGAATTGTTAAATGTACCTTATTTTTGAAGTAAACTTCAATAGGCAAAATGAAGCCTGCGTATCCAGACTCCTCCACTTTGTATGGTGGATCCTTGCACACTGAAATGAAAGAGAAATTTGCCATTAAAGAGAGGCCATTGACCTTCAACACAAGGTGACTTACAAAACAGAGAGGCTGGTTTAAATTCATTTAGTTCTGTAAAAAGTAAAACAGCTGCCTCCTTTCAATCACTATGGAGCGCACAGCAGCGCTGTGTCTGTGAGTGTTGGTGGTTGCTGGGGGACAGAAGCTCTGATGAACACACATTATTACAATTATCACATTCTCTCACTATTCTGGACACAAAAATATACGAGTTTTGCCTTTGCTTCTGAAAGTCTTGTCATTTAATGAACTGAGCCACTAAACCTGCATCTCTGCTCTCATGAGGTCTCATTAACTCCTATTTCCATTGTCTGCACTGATATCAAGACAAAAGCTGTGAACCAGGGCCTTTAAAGCTTGTGAATCCACTCAGCTCATGACAAGGAGAAGACTTCTCCCCTTGTCCCCACAGGCTTTAAAGACAAACAAACTCTCCAAGAGCTCAGGTGTTCTTCCCTGGAGGTGTGTGTTTGTCAGCCTCTCTCCCACTAGACTCCCCAGAAAGGTACCAATTAAGTTCCTGTATTTGGAGACCTGGGTGTTTTTACTGAAAGAGCGGATAAAAGCAAGTCTTAGCTGTGGTTCACCTTTAGGTAATGTCACTCTGATGCAAAGCATGAATAGAGGATAGTTAAGATGTCACAAGTCTGTAGCAACCACAGTGAAATGTATTATTCAGGCTGACTTGAAAAGTTCTTTCAAGTTCAGAAAAAATAAAGAAAAAGCTTTGACATTTTTTGGACATCTTATTTTAACATGCCTAATTCAGGGCTTTCTGTTTAGAATGGAACAATGATACTGCACCTTCAAAATATACTCTGGCACCATTAGACCATTACAGCTGTACTGCCGCATCCAGGAATTTGAAGCAGAAGACTATAATGTGACAAGTTAGTCAGTAAGTTGCTGAACCTCATTAGCTGCTTTCCTTGAGTTCACGGAAGTAACTTTGTCTATAGGCTACAGCACAACAAAGTAGGAAACAAAAACAATTAACACAAAAGACAAAAAATTTAACGTGACATCCTGCTTACTTACTTATCGTAGAAGCAGAAATATCAAATAAGAATGACCAAATCAACAAAATCTGCAAGTCTATAAAATCAGGCAGCCAAAACTCTGTGCTTCTCTAACACTCCTGGTGTGGTATGAAGCCATGCAGCGGACAGAACACAACTGGGTGGGAAGCCATGGAGGGCTGAGCACGGCACAGCTGGCACCCATGGAATTGTCCCCCCTGCTTCCTCACAGTCAATGGTAGCAAAGAGAAAGAAATCAACCAATTTACGCTCCTCATGTTGTGCCTAACTTTAGTGAACATATCTGGTATGGAATTAATCTGCAGATGCTTAAGTTAAAAACGAGAACAAACTTTTCAACAGATGTCAGTTTCTGACGTACTGCGAAGGCCAAAATGTGTTCTGCAACAGACGTTAAGGCTTGTTGTTTAGCCAAGGAAATTTCCGAAAAACTTGCGGTACCTACTGGCTGGTTAAGAGGAGAGAGGAGTCAATAGTCAGTGACGGTATTGAAAAGACCAAGTTTTTCAACAATTGTGAATCATCACAACCACAAGAGGTTACTGAGCATACAGTCATACATGTGCACAAAAAAATATTAGGCTGATTGGTTCAATAGTTTGCCAGATTAGCTTCAGACAGACAGATACACACTCACACATGTCCAAACATACATTCCCCGCCAGGCTTACACATTGCAAAGATAATTAGGTCTGCAACTAATGAATTTTCATTAATAGGTAATGTGATGATTACTTTCTCAATCAGCTAATAACTGTGTGGCTGATAATACAGTTGATTGTTGACTGACTAATCGATTAATCATTTCGGCTCTAACTGCAATATACAGCTATTGTTAATCAAGGTCATTCTCTACAATGAAAGCCTTAACTCAAGCTCCACTCACTAGTATTTTGGGAACTTTCATTAATATCTCAATGACTTCCTCTGTGGTGCTTATTAGGGCTGTAGTCTCCTGGTTGACTAGTCGATTATTTGGTCGCTATGCTCTCGTCCGACCAAATTCTCATTAATCGAACAATCGCCGTGTTACTTTCATAAGGAGAAAAGTGCTACATCAACAGCTTTCCAGGATTAATCCATTATTTCCTGTGGCGGGGTGGGGGGGGGGGGGGGGGGGGGGGGGGGGGGGCAAGGCTAAGTTACCTGTAAAAATGGGGACGCAGACCTCCTGTCAGTTTCTGTATACTGACACCATTTCCCTCAGTGGAAACGAAGCTTGTATTTACCTGTATTTCACAGATAAGAAACAATAAATTGTGAAGACAGTAAAGCCTCCACTAAAATAGCATTTTGTCTTGTGTGTGATTTATCCTTCAGGGATTTATACTGGGTTCATAGGAACAGAGGAAATCTCCGCTCGTTGCTAGGCTAATTTAAACAATGTAAAATGCCATAGTAGTGATGCACCGAAATGAAAATTTGTGGCCGAAGCCGAATAAAATTAAACGCTTGGCCCAATACCAAATACCGAGTACCGAATACCGTTGTTTAGTTTTTCATTAGTTTTTGCAGATGAACCCCCTCCAGATTAGTGTTGTCATGGTACCAAAATTGGGACCCACAGTACGATACCAGTGAAAGTATCACGGTTCTGAGTAGTATCACGATACCACAGCGAAAATGAGGCAGATGTGCCTTTTGTCATTTATAAAAAGATAAATCACTTTTCTATAATACATCAATGATATTTCAATTGAATAAATTACTTATTGACTTATTCATACTTCAAAAACAGCGTCAATACGTGATGAACATAGGGGGGATCAAAATAAAATAAATAAATAAAATAAAAATCAACCAAAAATCAACCAGCCACCCTCCTTCCCTGACAAGTAAAGAACAGTCTCTTCATAAGTAAAGAACAGTCCCTAAAGTGCGGTGAGGTTTGTCCGCCGTTACCTGCCACAAAGAGAGAAGTGTGAACAGCTTGCTTCTCCTCTGACACATCACATACCTGTGTGCTGCCACGGCTCGGCTGTCCAGGTACTTTTGGGCAGTCATGACACCAAGAAGAGGACATTATTGGAGCCGGACTTCTCCGTCGCCGGTAAGCCTATGGCCGCCATATTTGACAGGAATACATTCCTGTCTATGTCTGTGACCCCCGTTCAACCCACAACCGGCGGGATTCGCCTTTCGTTTCTGCTGCTGGTTGAAATCTGTACTCGCACAGCGTGCTGAATGATTTATTTTGCTCGCGCAAAACTATTTTTAGTCGCAAATGCGAGTGCATGACGGACAGAGTAAAATATCGCCACACTGCCGACATTTTACTCCGTCCGTCACCGCAAGCCGTTTGACTGCGTTATCAAAACACACCGCTATTATTCAGCCTTGCTTTTCACTTATTCCACCAAATACCGAATGTGTATTTTTTTGCAATATTCGGCCTAATATATTCGGTTACTGAATATTCGGTGCATCCCTATGCCATAGGCTGGCGCTAATAACGGTAGCATGTTATATTTGCTTGGAAAACGTGTTTAGTATAAGACAGATGTTTTGTCAGTGAATGTTGTGAGTTGTAATGGAGCCAAATTATGTGCCGTTACCTTTGTTAGATGCTGCTGTTGTCGCTGGTTTCATATGAGAAGAGGAAAAGATCGCTAGATGCTAGGCTAATTAATACAATGTAAAACGCCATAGACTTGTGCTAACAACATTAGCATGTTGTATTGATGAGGGAAATGTGTCCAGATAAAGACAAGTATTTGTCTGTCAGTTCTGCAATTTATAGTGAAGCCAATTTGCATACTTGTGTTTGAAAGTGTCTCTATTAAGCCACATTTAATGTGTGTTTTCAATCAACTATATAAATAAAGTTTGATTTGAACTAAACTTTACAGCACTTAACACAGTCCTCCACCGCCGACTAGTGTTTTGGAGGAGTAACTGCAGAGTGACAGACGTAAAAGTGCAGAAGTAAAAATAACGTGCAGATTTTCTTTTTCTCTCGACAAATCGATTGGTTCAAGATTATGTGCGACTTTAGTCGACCAAGATTTTCTTTGGTTGACTACAGCCCTAGTGCTTATTAAATTAAAATTGATCAATTAGCCCTAAGCAAACAATAGTAAATGGACCATGAATTAGGCTTTATCACAATTACTTATTACTGATTATCATCACAATTATCACTATAGTTGTTGCCATTATTATTATTATTATTATTATTACACTGTTATCATTTTATAATCTGTTTTGTAAAATATTTAATTTATGTTGCTGTGAAAACAAATATTTCCTTCAAACAACTGTATTTATTCAAGTTTCTCACCAAAACCTAAATTTTACAAGATTACATCTGAACGTTTGAACACTTTGTGATAACGTTATAATTTACCTTGGCCCAAAGCTTATTTTTACTGCACAGAGCTGACCAAGCATTTGGTGTCAAACTTGAGTTCTTGACAGGCACTCAAAAAGTACTTGGTCCAAGACTCATCCTAAAGTGGACACAGCAGACTGCTGGAGAACAAACACAGAATATAAAGGAAACCTCACAAGAAAAATGCTCTGAGTTTGTAAGCAAACAACTGGTAGCTTGGCTTTCAGTGATGCAGGTGACCTCGGTAATACCCTGACTCATCCTTAGCGCCTACCAGCCTTTGACACCAATCTAATCATCACTGTGCTCTCTTGTTTCATTTTGGAGCCCCGCCCCTTCAGGGAGCAGCAGTGATTGATGGCTCAGCTGACGACGCTGAGGTCGACCTCACTGCTGGGGCCAAGCCATCCAAAACCCAATACCACTGAGCAAATATTATGGGTTAGAGTTAATTGTGCAAGTGGGTCAGGTTCAATTACACCCAGCTAAAAGAGCCCATTCACTCCCACACCAAATATAAACTGAGGTGGAGAGGGAGATGAGCCCAACCACCCCATAATGGAAAGAAAAATTCACACTGAAG